ACGTATATGCTGTGTTTGCATGGCTATAAGCTTACTCTAATCATTGAGAGACATAAAACAATTGAAAGTCTATTTTTTACAGAAGTATCTGCTGCATTTTATTTTCAGCCCAGAGAAGTATCTGATTTCACACTATTACAATAGTTACTGGATCTGAGACCATATGAAATCTCACTGGGTTTTATTTCCCTTTAGGGTGGTCACCTGGATAGTAAAATTATGTTTTACTGCAGCCGTATGGAACTTAATTTTTTTTAAAAAAAGATTAGTTCATAAAAAAATATTCCACCCAAATCAACAAATATCTCGAGTCACTCTAAATAGCAAAGTAATTTAGTATGTCCCCTGAAAGGAGACTAAACATTTGATCCCTGCCCCTGGCAGGACGCTCCCTGGGAACCTAGCTCCCCCATGTTCCCCGCGCCTGCCAGTGGCGTCCATCTCTCCCTCCTCCATGCTCCCACTGAGCTCTGTTTGTACATTTATTATGGCACTTAGCCTGACTCTGCCTTATTTCACAATTGTGTACCTCTGCAGCTTAGAAATAGCTGAGGCAAGTATGTAGGCAGAGATAGGGCTTGTGGAGACCACCTGCAGGGTGCCCTGTGCCTATACAGGGTGACTGCAGCCTACTAAGGCACCCCTGAGGCTGGAGGGGCTCTAGAAGCACCTTCTTGCTCCCAGTGAGGATGTGGAAGGCAGCTGGTGGAACTTAGCACCGTGGCCCTGTGGAGGGACCTGAGGCCTCAGGATGCTGAGAGGAACCATCAGCAGGGGGTTGCCCTGAGCAGGCTCGGCGGTGGGGTCGCTACTGCCCCTTGGCCAGCACCGGCACAGCACAGCCTGTACAAGGACCAGAGGACACATGTAGAGCAGGGGGCTCTTCCGCCATCTCGCCCTTGAACCCAGAGGCCATCTGAGAAAGTAGACAGAAGGGAAAAACAGCCCTAAAAGAGATCTGAACTTTAACTTTTAATGTCAAGTACTTTCAGGTGCTTATTTGTTCTCTGTATATTTTCTTTGGTGAAGCGTCTGTTCAAATCTTTTGCACATTTTTTTAAAAAGATTTTTATTGGGGAATTGTGGGGATGGGAACAGCGCTGGGGAATTGGGAGAAGGGGAACAGACAAGTTGATGTCATTTTGTTCTTCAGTCTAGTTGTGGAGGACGTTGCTTCACTGGCCCAAGTTGGCACCATCATTGCGCTCTTCCCGGGCGAGGCAGATCAGTCGCCGGCTTCTGGACGGCCGCTCACAGCGGCTGCTGGCCACTCATGCTGGCTGCTGGCCGCTCACGCTGGCTGCTGGCTACACACGGTAGCCCGTGGCAACCCACTGTTACAGGGGCTGCAGCCTACGCCGTCGCCGGCGACTCACAGCAGCCCAGCTCCAGGTTGAGCTGTTGTTCAGCATCTTAGCTGTAGAGGGCGCAGTGTCACTGGCCCTCATATGTGGGATCCGAACCGGGGCCCTCTGGTGTCCCAAGCCAGTTCTTAACCATCGCACCACTCGGCCGGTCCTTTTGCACATTTTTATTTGGTATCTTTCTTACTACTGCGTTGTAAGAATTATTTGTATAGATATAAATCCTTTGTCAGATATATGTTTTGCAAATATTTTTTCCCAGCTGGTGATTTGACTTTTCTTTTTCATAACAGTGTCTTTTGAAGAGCAAAGAAGACATAGATAACCTGAATAGCCATATATGTATTAAAGAAATTGAATTTGTAGTTGAAAACCTTCCCAATCCAGACTTAGATAAGCTTCACTGCTAAGCAGTTAAGGAGTAATTACACAAATGCTCCTAGAAAATAAAAACAGAAGAGAAAGGAAAGCTTCACAACTCATTTTGAGAAAAAAATTCATTCTGAGATGCCAGCATTATTCTGATACCAAAACCAAATAAAGAAATCACAGGAAAAGCAAGCTACAGAACAACATTCCTTATGAACACAGAGGCAAAACTTCTTACAAAATTCAGTCAATCAAATTCAACAATATATAGAAATACTAATAGATCATGACCAAGTGAGGTTTCTCCTGGGAATACAAGGTTAATTTAACATTTGAAACTCAATATAATTTACCATATTAACTGGCTAAAAAGAAAAGCCATCCCATCATCTCACAGATGCAAGAAAAGTATTTGAAAAAAAACCCCAACATTAAATCCTGATTAAAAAAAAAAACTCCACTAACAAGGATAGAAGGGAACTTAGTCTCATAAAGAAAATCTATGAAGACCTCTTTTCTATCTATACTAACTTCTTAGGAGACCCCATCTAGTTTCATAGTTTTTAAATATTATTTATATTCTGGCGAGTCCTACATTTACATTGCCCCAGGCCTCTGAGCTATGGATTTCCCCCTGCAACTGTCTATTTTGACATTTCTTCCATGTCTAATATGCATCTCAAACTCAGTATGCCCCAAACAGAACTGATTTCGCAATCCCCTCTTCTCAGAGTTCCCTGGAGTATAAGGCCTAAAATTAAGGCCCGACATTATGTGCTGCCTTGACAGCTGGCGAAACCGGGAAGGCCCCACACATCCTAACTACAAGTTCCCCTCCACTGCACTCCCGTGAAGAAAGTCCCCTAACTGAACACACCTTGTCAAGAGGACCAGAAATAGTTCCCGCCTATCCCTGAATAGTGGGTTTGTTTCCTGCCAGCCCACGAAATTATTTTAACTAGCGAATGATACCCTCCTGCAGGGACTGGGGTCACCCCATTCTCCTGATACTACAAAGCCTGCCTCCCACAGTCCCTGGTAGTTCACTGTTCTCAAGTGCGTCCCCACGGGCCCTGTGTATGTGTGATTAATAAGCTGCTGTTGTTGGTCTCATCTATTCAGTATTGGCTGCCAAGTGTTCAGCCATCCCCAAAACCCTAGGGTGGAAATAGCTAACTTTACAAATAGGGTGAATAAGAGGCAATTAAAGTAGCCCTGTTGTGATAAATGGTGCCTTAACTCAGTTGCTCGAAGAAAACAATATGAGCATTTTGATTTCTCACGCCCACAACCAACCCATCGCCAAATCCTTATCCGTGGCATGCTTAAACTGTATCTGGGATCTACCAACTTCACTCCCACTCCAGTCTGCAGTCCCAACCACCATCTCTTGCCTGAGTCAGTACAACACTCTAAAGTGGTCTCTGCATCTCTGCCCATTTCCCCCTGCAGTCTGTTCACCACAGAGCAGTCTAAGTGAGCCTCTTATGACATAGGTTGGATTGCATCATTCTTTTGCCCAGAATTTTCTAATGGCTTCCTGTGACAACTTTGGGATAAAGGTCCAAGCCCTTACCATGGCCGTGAAGACCTCTTGTATCCCATCTGCTACCATGTCCCCCGCTGCCACAACACTCAGCTGCCCTAGCAACTTGTGAACCCTTGAACCCACCATGCGTGCTCCTGCCTCAGAGCCTTTGCACGTTTGCTCTGCCTGGAATGATCTTCCGCACAAGAGCTGCAGGACTGGCTCCTTCAATGTACTTCATACGAGTTGGTCTCGGCTCAATGTCACCTCCCCAGAGGGCTCTTCCTCAATTACTTGTTATAAAATGGCCAACGCTACCACTTCTCTCTTACCTTGCTCTTTCTCCATTGTACTTCATGACCCCAGATATTGTATATTTGTTTACTGTCTACCTCCACCCAATGAGAAGATCCTTGAAGGAAGGAATCTTGTTCAATGCTGTATCTCCAGGGCCAGCCGAGTGGCGTGTTGGTTAGGAACTGGCTTGAGACGCCAGAGGGCCCCGGTTCGGGTCCCACATATGAGGGCCAATGACACTGCCCTCCACAGCTAAGATGCTGAACAACAGCTCGACCTGGAGCTGGGCTGCCGTGAGTCGCCCGGCGATGGTGTAGGCTGCAGCTCCTGTGGCAGTGGGTTGCCATGGGCTACCGTGTGTAGCCAGCAGCCAGCGTGAGCGGCCAGCAGCCACAGTGAGCGGCCGTCCAGAAGCCGGCGACTGATCTGCCTCACTGGGAAGAGCGCAATGATGGTGCCAACTTGGGCCAGTGAAGCAACGTCCTCCACAACTAGACTGAAGAACAAAACAACAGCAACTTGTCTGTTCCCCTTTCCCCAATTCCCCCCAAAAAATCTTTAAAAACAAACAAAACTGTTAGAATAAATGAATTCATTAAAAAAAAAATGCTGTATCTCCAGTGTCTAGAATAGCGGTTCTCTACCTTCCTAATGCCGCAACCCCTTAGTACAGTTCCTCATGTTGTGGTGACCCCCAACCATAAAATTATTTTCGTTGCTACTCTATAACTGTAATTTTGCTACTGTTATGAATCATAATGTAAATATCTTTTTGTTTTCCGATGGTCTTAGGTGACCCCTGTGAAAGGGTCGTTCGACCCCCAAAGGGGTTGCGACCCACAGGTTGAGAACCGCTGGTCTAGAATGTGCCTGGAACACAGAAGCTGCTCAGTAAGTATGTGATGCATGAATAAACAAACAATAAAAATGCCTGACTTTTAATATTTTCACAACATATTATAAGCCTTAATAATCTTTGCCAGTCTAATGTGTAGAAAATAATCTCTCTTATTTTAGTTTGTGTATCCTACCATGTTTTCTGGGCTTGGCCTTTGTATTTCTTTCAAAAAGCTATCTTTTTCATATCTCTTGCTCAGTTTGTCTTTTTCCTATTGCTTTACAAGAGCTGTTGATACGTTAAAGAAATTATTCCTTCATCCATTGTATGCTACCGATATCTTTTCCCAGCTTGTCGTTTGCCTTTGACTTTGTAGTCATACTATCAATCTTCTCCTTTCGGCTCCTGGTTTTGAGACATGCTTAGGAAGTCATTCTCCATTCTAAGGTCATCCAAGCATTCATACTTGTTTTCTTCTAATACTTTTATGTATGTATATATAAATGATTATAATTTTTAGGTCTTTGATTCTTCTGGGATTATCTCTGGGGCATAAGGAGTAAGGAAGTGATCTAGTTTAAAAAGCAAACTTAGCTCTAAAACACAATACAAATTTCTGGATACCATTTATGTAACATTGTTGCTTTAATTTTCTCAAAAAATATTCATAACTTAAAAAACAAATTCAAGGCTCACTTGTTTTCCAGTATACATTTTTATAAGCACATTGATACATATCTTATATATGTATGCACATCTATTATGAATGGATATATATGCAAAAAATTCTGTTTTCCACAATTCTCTGGAATGTTACATTACAATCTGACATTACTATCACTATTAAAATGTTTTCCCAAGAAAGTTTCCATTTTATGTTTGTCATTTTCTCACTTTCCTGGATCTTGAAGATTTCTTTTTCGTTTTACTGTATTTTGTTTTAAAAAGTCTCTTTTCAATTAAGCTCACTTCTTCATGGAGAAAGGAGGTCTTTATTCTTAGCAGGAAGGAGAAGAGATTTAGTATAAACTGATAACTCAGAGAAAAAATTGATTCTTCATAGGTTGTCACATGTTTACAATAGCTAGAAGGGGAAGAAAAAGGAACAGGTTACCTTTATATGACCATTTAGAAATGTATGCATCTGTCCCTTGAACATCTCCCAAATAATTTAACAAATATATATGGTTAGGCTTAAAATAGTAATCTGAGCTGAAAGGAAACTTAGAACAATTTGGTAAAACTCCTTCATTTTACAAAGGAAAAAAATCTCAGCACTGCCCACGGTCACCATGCAAGGGGCACACTGGTAGTACAGACAGCCAGGTCTCATAGCTTCCCACCAGAGGTTCTGCCACTCCAGGTGGGCCCCCACTTCTTACCATGATAAAGGCACACAAAAGCACACAGGGAGAGATTCTGTACATATTTTTAAAACAAAAAAGTGAAAACAAATAATCCACAAGCCCCATCCAAAATAAGACACCAGACTTGATAATGTAGCTTGTAGTCCTGTGTATATTATAGAAACAAGAGTTTACAAAGCAATTTCACTTATTTTAAAGTAGTAGAGCGTGAATCTGATCAAATCTCTAACTACCACCAAATCTCTAATTCTAATTATCAATCTCCGACTAACTCTAACTATACCAAAGTGTAGGTAATCCAGGGGACAGAGGAACATATTAATGGTTCACGGAACTATACCATTTATACGGTATGGAAATTGTACAGAACACGTGACCTGGATTACTCAACAAGTAAATTGCAAGGAGAAAAAAGAGATAAAGGAGGAATTTACTAACTAAAACACCTAAGGGATAGCTCTGCCATTTGGATTCTGAGTTATTTAAAAAAGTACATGACAATTGGGAAAATCTAATCAGTGACTGCATGTTTGATTATATTAAGGAATTACTATTCGGGGGGGGGGTTGGTTTTTTTTTTCTGATTAATGGCATTATGGTTTTGCTTTAAAAATGTTTTGATGCTTGGGATTTGCTCCCAAACAATCTAGGGATGGGGTAGAGGACTGAGTTGGGGCATGGGTGAAGCAAGTCTAGCCTTGTTGACAATTGTTGAAGCTGAGTGACAAGGCACAGGAGGGTTCATTCAACTATTTTCTCTATGTTTTAATATACTTGAAATTTTGCATAATAAAGAGTTTAAAAAACAAGTAACATACAGAGAATATAAACTTTTAGATATTATGATTTATATAACATATATGGTCCTAAATTCCTGAAAGAATGTTTATATTTGCACTACAAAACTCTGCCACCCAACAGTTGTGACTACAGATAACTACTCTTGGTTCTCTCATCTGTAAAATGGAAAACAACAACAGTACCTACCCTATAGGATGGATACAGGACTAAGTGTGAATATATATTAAGCACTTCACTCAATGGTTGGCACATAGTACGGGCTCAAAAATGTTAATTTCCCCTACGCTCCTTCAAAAGTTCACTTAAAATCTTAAAGCTGTGTATTTTAATAATATACAATAAAGCCAATACCCTACTGTGTTCAGTAGTAGGACATTTAAAAGCCTTAATGGTTTTTTCATTGATTGATTTTATTTTTGTTATTTTTTATTTTTCAGTTACAGTTGACATTCAATATTATTTTATATTAGTTTCAGGTGTACAGCATGGTGGTTTGAAATTTATACAATTTACCAAGTGATCTCTCTGATCGGTCTAGTACCCACCCTGATACTATACAGTTATAACAATATTATTGACTATATTCCCTATGCTACACTTTATATCCCCACAACTATTTTGTAATTACCAATTTGTACTTCTTAATCCCTTCACCTTTTTACACCCAGCCCCTTAACCTCCCTCCCATCTGACAACCATCAGTTTGTTCTCTGTATCTATGAGTCTGTTTCTGTTTTATTTTCTTCTTTAGATTTAAGTGAAATCATATGGTATTTGTCTTTCTCTGTCTGACTTACTTCACTTAGTATAATACCCTCTAGGTCCATCCATGTTAAACTCATTGAGGATGGGGCATTTAATATATAGATGCAAATCTGTCACCAGTCCACAATGTGTTATGATTTTATTTTTATTTTTTTATGGCCAAGTATTATTCTATTGTATATATGTACCACTTTTTTATCCTATCGTCTATTTTTATCTTATCATCTAAGTTCCTGCTGGGAACTTAGGTTACTTCCATATCTTGACTACTGGAAATGACACTGCAATGAACATCAGGGTGAATATATCTTTTCAAATTAGTGTTTTGGGTTTCTTCGGATGAAGACCCAGAAGTAGAATTGCTGGGTCATGTGGTAGTTCTATTTTTAATTTTCTGAGGCAACTCTATACTCTTTTTTATAGTGACTGCACCAATTTCCAATCCCACCAACGATGTACCAGGGTTCCCTTTTCTCTACATCCTCAACAACATTTGTTGTTGTTGATGTTTTCATTTATTGATGATGGCCCTTCTGACAGGTGTGAGGTGGTTATCTCATTGTGGTTTTAATTTGCATTTCTCTGATGATTAGTGATGTTGAGCATCTTTCCATATGTCTATTAACCATCTGTATGTTCTCTTTAGAGAAATATCTATTCAGGTCCTTTACCCATTTTTTAATTGAATTGTTTGGTTTTTTTTGGGTCTTTTACCTCCTTGGTTAAATTTATTTCTAGGTATTTTTTTTATGCAATTGTGTATCAATTGTTTTCTTAATTTCTCTTTTGATAGTTCATTATTGGTGTATAAAAATGCAACCAATTTCTGAATACTAATTTGTATCCTGCTACTTTACTGAATTCATGTATCAGTTCAAATAGTTTTTTGGTGGAATCTTTAGGGTTCTCTCTATATAGTATCATGTCATCTGCAAATATGGACAGTTTTATTTCTTTTCAATTTGGATACCTTTTCTTGTCTGACTACTGTGGCTAGGACTTCTAATACTATGTTGAATAAAACTGGTGAGAGAGGGCATTCTTGTCTTGTTCCTGATCTTAAGAATGCTTTTGGCTTCTCCCCATTGAGTGTGTTAGCTGTGGATTTCTCATAATGGCCTTTATTATGTTGAGGTATGTTCCCTCTACTCACACTTTGCTGAGAATTTTTATCATAAATAGATGCTAGATTTCGTCAAATGCTTTCTCTGCATCTATTGATATGATCACATGGTTTTTATGATTCATTTTGTTTACGTGGTGTATCACATTAATTGATTTGCAGATATTGAACCAACCTTGCATCCGAGGACTAAATTCCACTTGATCATGGTGTATGACCTTTTTAATGTATTGCTGAATTCAGTTTGGTAATATTTTGTTGCGGATTTTTGCACCTATGTTCATCAGGCATACTGGCCTATAATTGTCTTTATTTGTAATGTCTTTGTCTGGTTTTGGAGTCGGGGTGATGCTGGCCTTGTAGAATGAGGTTGGGAGCCTTCCTTCCTCTTAGATTTTTTAGAACAGCTTGAGGCTAGATGTTAGTTCTTCTTTCAATGTTTGGTAAAATTCACCTGTAAAGCCATCTGGTCCAGGACTTTTGTTTGTTGGGGTTTTTTTTTATTACTGATTTGTTTGGCAGTAGTAATCCATATGCTCAGATTTTATTTCTTCTTGATTCAGTCTTGGAAGATTGCATGTTCCTAGGAATTTATGCATTTCTTCCAGATTGTCCAGTTTGTTGGCATATAGTTGTTTGTAGTATTTTCTTATAATCCTTTCTATTTCTGCGATGTTAGTTGTCACTTCTTCTCTTTCATTTCTGATTGTTCATTGATTGATTCAATAGAAACAAAATACAAGCCATTTTATTTACAGGAATACTCACAAATATGGTGGCCTCTTGCTTTTCTTATTTTCTAATTTTTAATTTCAGCTATTTTAAGAGAGATTCTTTCAGGCAAAATGTTATCACCAAAAGGGTAAAAGTATTATTTCTCTTACCTAGGGACTATAAGGAAAGCTCTGTTTCTACACCAGAAAGATAAGAAAAGGTATATAAATTATTCACTACAGTAAGGACTTTTCGTTTCTGAGTCACTAATGATACCTTATAAGGATTACATTCTTAATCATTAACTCAGAAAACTATCCTTGAGTTATAAGAGATAAAACCAAATATAATATACAATAATTTGTTATTGCCAAGTATCCTGCTGTGTGAGTAGAACATGTGTCAAGCGATATTCCTTGAGTTCTGTGTGATATTGTAAATAAATGTGTGCGGCAAATGGATGCTGTATGAATATGCTTATACAAACAATTTTATGTGATTGGATAAGCATAGGTCTATATTTAAAGAGGGGGCAGTGTAAAGGTAAAATTTTCCTTATGAGAAGTTCAAAAGTTTGCAAAAAGAGGGGCCAGCCAAGTGGCTCAGTTGGTTAAGAGCTCATGCAAGAGTGCGAGCTCTGAGCAACAGCGGTTCGATGCCCAGCCTGAGCTGAGCAGCTGCTGAGCTGCCAACAGGTAGCAGGATGGCTCAGCTAAAAAAAAAAAAAAAAAAAAGTATGCAAAAAGAATAGTCTGAAGTCTGCACACACATGTAATAAATAAATAACCTGGTGACACAAGTTAATGTTTTGGTGGTCTCAAGCATGTTCAAATTTGGCATATGACATATTTGAGTATTGTTTTTCACTACAGTTTAAAATATTAAAAACAAATCTTTAAAAATTCAAATCAAACTTCTATGGGATACCCCAAGCCCCTCCATTTCATGTGGAAGACAACTTGAGAAGCCCTGGCTGCCCTCTTCCTGTGGAAGGACAGATGGAATACCTGCCCCTCTCAGGGAGGTCAGGGATACACATGCTATTAGCCAGTGTCTATGATGGGTTTTTGGACTTAGCGAAATGTCAGTAACTGCTTTATATACAGATGGGGACTTCTATAAATGTGAGGAATATTAAGGGCATTTAGATTAATTAAGATCTTTAGCAAAAAAGGATAAACTGCCCATATCTGAAGTGCTCTTGCAGCCTCTCTCTGCTTTGTTCTCAAAGCCTGAGTAGTCTCACGAGTATTTTACAGGACCCTCAGAAATGGGGGTTTGTCTCTTTGAGCCCTTGGAAATGAGCCCTTCTGCGTAACAAAATTCTCTACATAACTGAAGATCTGCTCTCTTAAGTGTCAAAACATTTCATTTTAACCATTGTGGATGGAAATCTTTAAAAACTGAGTTATATATTATTTGATTATCTTAGGGCACAGTCAATATAATTTTTTTATCCTTTACAATTATATTATTATAAGTCCATTTTTATTGTGGAAATAGAAAATACAGTAAGAAAACCAAAATCAAAGAGAATGTAAACAGTATTTTGGGACATGTTCTGTGTTAAAGTTGAGACACAATCAGGTTTATTTATTTATGTGAAGCTATTAATTGTGTGTCGTGAATAAACTTCAGACCGCTGGAATTTGAGTTCTTTTGTCTGCTTCTGATTTCAGTGCTGGCTCCTCTACTGTTTGTCACCCGGATGTCATGTTTGCTGTCAAGGTGCCTCTCAGCAGACCACCTCTCAGTCTCCCTTTTACTTTGTTTCTTAAGATGATTAGCAGTTTCGAAGTGAGGCAACTCAACCTGACGGAAACACACCTGAAGGCAGAGTAAGGGGGCTCTGAGTGAGGGACTAATGGGCTTCCCGAGAAAAGTGTACATATAAGCTTTAGTCATGGACTTTGTGACATTTTTATTGGTTGGCTGAAGCCTTTTTTTGCTCACTCTGTGATTCTAGGCTATGGTCCAAATAGGCAAGGCTGACATAATTTCAGTACATAAAGTCATGGTATCACTGACGCTTTGTCTATAGGTTTTCGTTTTTAGCCTTATAGTTCATGCAGAGAAAACAATCTCAATTACTTCATCTCTGACTATCCCAGGTCTATTTATAACTCAAATAGAGTTACTAAATCTGTTATTAAATCTATTAAATCCAAAAATCCACTGATTGTGCTACTTGAAAAAGGTAAGGGTGTAAACTCCCTGCTAACTCACTCAGGTGACAGAGTGCGACAGGTGAGGCAGAGGAGCACAGGCACACCTCGTCCAAACTTACTGGTCTTGGGCGGGTCCCCTCACTGGCCTGTACTACACCCTTCTCAGTTCTACTCGATGAAATCGTAAAATCTGAAAGTACTATTATATGTTGCACTGACCACTAAAGGAACGTATTGTCTTAGATGTGGAGCTGTCCCCAGGATTGGGCTCTGGCCTTTCACTGTTGCTGCTATTCAGACAATGTCACTCCTTAATCATTTTAATTTTAATACAGATAACTTCATTTTATCATCTTCATCTTATTATCTTGATACTCAGCTCAGGAAGCGAAACTTTTAATAGAAAATTAGTTTCGTTCAAAATAATAACAATAATGATCATAGTTATCATTTATTGAGTGTTTACTATGTGACAGACACCAAATATCTCATTTAACTCTCATACAAACCCGATGGAGCAGCTTCCACTTCCGTTCATTCATTCATTCTCACAACAAACAGTTGGTGAGCACTTAGGCTCTGTTCCAGTCTCTTAGATTTTTCATTAAATAAGACAGAGTCCCAGCTAAAGGACCTTACATTCTAGTGTAGGAAGGCAGACAAATACACAAAATAAATCTATAATACTATAATATATTCAATAATGACAAAAGCTATAAGGAGAAAACAGGCAAGGCAAAGAGAGTGATGAGGTGTGAGTGGTAGTGGTAGGGGGTGGGGGTGGGTTGGTTGTTATTTTAAATAGGGTGGTTAAGAAAGGCCTCTCCGAGGAAGTGAAATTTGAGCAAAAAACTGAAAGAAGTGAGCCTGCGTGAATACCCAGGGGGAGAGCACTCCAGGCTGAAGATACAACACGTGCAAAGGCCTGCACAGGGAGTGTACTTGGCAAGTTGAAGGAACAGTGAGGAGGCTAGTGTGAACAGGGGCAGTGAGCATGAGAAGGCGGGTAGCAGGAGAGGTCATAGAATAGCCAGGGCTTGTAGGCTCCATAGGGTCTTTCGATGGTAAATTACTTGCCCACAATGAGCAAGCAGCAGAGCTGGGATACGAACAGCTGGATTCATTAGTACGTCCTCTTAACTACCATGGGAAACTGCCTTCTAGGCAATTTGTAAGTCAACATGGGAATGAGATTAGTAAGAAAAGACTTTTTACAATGACAAAAGTCTTTATAACCTAAAACTTTCCCCCAGCTTTACTGAGATATTATTGACATATAACATGTAAGTTTAAGGTATACAATGTAATGATTGGATGTATGAATAGACTGTGAAATGATCATCACAAGATTGGTTAACATCTCCATCCCTAAAACTCTTAAAAGAGACTCAATGTATAATTCCAATTTTCTTGATTCTAAGCTCACCATCTTCTAACAACCTATCTGGCTCTTATTATAGATAGCCATCTCCGTTAAATTACATGTGACTTTTTTTAAATTAGAAAAGAATACTACTTCAGGCCAAACTAGAGGTTTTACCATGTTTTTATCCTTTGATTCCTAAAAGCATCACATACCTCCTACAGAACTTCTGTGTACTAAGCCAATATAGTGAATTCTTGATTGTCAGTGACTGGCCTTTCTTCTTCAGGAGTCCCTGGAGGCTATGTCCATGGAAACAAGTTCTATCAGTGTCTTCTTCAGTCCAATTGAACTGAAAACTTGAAGGGCTTTTTTTTTCAACAGTTGGTGTTGAATCAACCAGTGTGCTAAATTGTTTTTGTAGATTCACCACCATTTCTGGAAATTGAGGGAAAGAGGAAAGGAATAAAATAAAAACTAATGTTACAACAAAAAAATAAAAAATAATAAAAAAATAAAAATATCCCCTATTTAAAAAAAACAAAACAAACAAAAACTAATGTTAAATTACAGGTAAAGCCTGTAGTTTACTTGCTAGTAATGTACCAATGTTGGTTTTTTAGTATGACAAATGCACAGTGGTAATGTAAGAGGATAACATTGGGGAAACAAACTGGATGAGGGGAACTACTTAAAAAGGGATAAAATGGTAAATATTATGTTATGTATATTTTAACCACAATTTTAAAAAATGAGTAAGACAACCTAAAGGCTCTACACAAAGTGTTCTGAAAGTCACAGAAATACAGGATTTTAGATTTTGGTGGGAACCTAAGTTCTGTTTGGTATAACGGCATGTTTCTGAAATACACAGATTCCTGTGGAGATTTCTTACAGATGATGTGTCTTTGGATGTGCACTGGAACGCTTGTTAAAGAAGAAAAAAATTACTTATGCATTCACTTTTCAAGATATAGTAAAACCTTGGATTGTGAGTAACTTGGTTTGCGAGTGTTCTGCAAGACAAGCAAACATTTCTAATACATTTTAACTTGGTAAATGAGCGATGTCTTGCAATACAAGTAGTTTGTTTCCGGAACAAATTATGCTCGCAAACCAAGGCAGTATGTATTTAGTTTTACTACAATACAACTGTGTTGCTACTTGGCATTCGTAAGAGAAAATGCAACTCACCCCTTCTTTTATATACCACTGATCTGTCGATGGACGAGTGGTAGAGTGGCTTTTCGCTTTTCCACATGTACCTGTACAAAGCAGAAAGACAGTTGGAGCCGGATGGAGAAAAAATGGACTTAAACGCATTTCAGAGAAGGTTCTCTAAAACAATGTCTGAAATTCCTGACATTCAGTGTAAAAGCTCTGGCTTAGAATGACTAATTGACATACGTCTGCAGAGCTTATATCCTAAGTAAGCATGCAGCCCTGAAGGAGAAAACAAGCCAACAGAATGATGTACTCCTCCCAGAGCCTCTCAAGATCCTGAAGAAGCTATTATACAAAAAATGTAGAAATGGCTTCCCTCATCATGAAATTCCCTTGCTGCCTATTCTCATAGAGCGAAGCCACCGAAGAAACAACTGTTTCTCCGTGTTTTTGCCCAACTGCCCTTTTGCTGAGGATTCAGTTAGGGGTTTCTGTGCTTCTGATAAGTCAGACAAAGTGAACAATACGTGCCAGTCTTCTGTCATTAATGCCTGGAAATTAATCCTATCCCTGGTGGGAATGAGATCAGCATGACACAGTCCTAGGGCCCTGCACTGACTTAACCTACCCTTTCCAAGGGAGTGCCAGATAGGGAGGTCCCCTGTACAATGGAGATCCTGCACGGATCTATAAAATATACATAACATTGCCTCCTCCAAAGACCAAGAGACACGTGCAGTTCTTCCAGGTTGGGGGTGACCAGCCTAGAGTCAGGCTAAAGGGAAGTGACATGCTCTATTTCCAGTTCCAGTGGCCACTGCTTAACTTGGGTAAGCAGGATGCTGCTCTGGAATAAAGATAACACTTAATGTTCATTTTTAGTCTCATTTTCATTCTGAGTTTTTTAAAGTGGAGGATTTTCATAATTTATAGTAAAATCTTGATCCCAGGCCTTTCTTATTTTGAAAGGCAGTGTGGCAATAGGAAGAGGGCTGACTCAGAGGGTCAGGCTCTACCACTTCCTAGTGGTATGACCTTGTGTGAGTCACGTGTGACAAATTCTGGAGGTTCTCCAGGGCAGAGACCAGAGACTATCTCACCCTTCTTTATGGCCCTTTAGTGTTGGCAGTGAGTGGCACATGGTAAGGACTCATTCAAATATTTTTAAAAAGAATGAATGGATGGGGCCAGCCGAGTGGCTCAGTTGGTTAAGAGCTCGCTCAAGAGTTTGAGCTCTGAGCAACAGCGGTTCGAGTCCCGGACCGAGCTGAGCTGCTGCTGAGCTGCCAACAGGTGGCAGGATGGCTCAGCTGAAAAAAAAAAAAGAATGGATAAATAATGGAACAAATGAATTCAACATCTCTAAAACTGTCTTCTACTTTCACAGAGTTGTTCTGTACAATTAAGATAATGCATGTAACAGTTCTTTAAATCTATACAATTGTTGGAAGTAATTATTATCCAGTGCTTGACAGTGTGTCTGGGTAGTGGACACTCAACGAATATCTGTGGATTTTCTACAAAAAAGCTGATAAGAAACAGAAAGTCAGAAATTCAAATATTTTTATTTTTTTTAATTTATGATATTTGATAATGGGTAATTTTTTGCCATTTTTTTAATGTTGGGAAAGAAAATGCATATAAAAAGTAAACATTTTAGTAATATTATGATGGCAAATAATCATTTTAACCAATTTAAGAACTGAGATTTTTCTCATGAATTTAAAAAAGACTTGATAAAATCAGTAAAATCTTGACTTTATATAAAACAGAGAAGCTAACTTTTTACTTTGAGTTCTCACAATGATTAAAAATGTTAAAAACAGAAATGAAAATTCTTTAATCATCTGGGGGCAGTAGAGATGTAATCAATGTTAATAGATGATCTTCCTGAAAATTATGTGTAAACTAAATTTTAGTGAGCCATACCACATTTAAAATATATCAGAAAGCTTGTCATTTAATCCCTATGGTAAGTGAGTTTGTGATTCTTTCAAATATCTTTTTTTTTTGTTATTTATTTTCTTAATAAAAGTAACAACATGCTCAAGGTAAAAAATCTCAAATAATAAAGAAGTTCCCTAAACTAAACAGTCTAATCCCAATCTCTAGTTAAACCCACAGCTAAAAATTCCTTGTGAATACCTAATCTATTTTAATAGATTTTCTTATGCACTTTTGACAAATGCCTACACAGGTGTCAACGATAATATCATCAAGGAGGCATTATTACTCCTTTGGGGTCATTTGCCCAGAAAATGGGCAAGGCAATCTAAAATAACAACTCTGTTTATACTCCTTCTTCAGAATTTACTTTACTTTGCTTACCTCTTCCCCAAACTACAAAAGCTACAAAAAACAGAGACACGCCACAAAGTCCCAGTGTTTCTATAGGACGCCACTAAGTCCTGTATGCTTCTCTCCAGTCTCTATATGATTTGTTTCCCATTGTTAAAAAATTAAGGTGTAATCTACATGCAGTAAATTCATCCCGTTCAGTGTATGGTTCTGCTAGCTTTTACAAACACATACCATCAGGTAATCGCCACCATGATTCATAGAACATGGAACAGCTCCCTCCCTCCAAAAATCTCTCAGGCCTCTTGATAATCAACCCATCTCTAAACCCCCAGATCTTTATCTCAGGCAACCACTGATCTGCTTTTCTGTCCCTACAATATAGCCTTTTCCAGAATGCCAGATAAATAGAATCATACTCTATGCAATCTTTTGAGTCTTTCGGTTAGCATACTGCATTTAAGATTCACACGTATTGCTGGATGTATCAGAAGTTTGTCCCTTTTTATCACTGAATAGTATGCCACTGTACAGATATACTACAGTTTGTTTATCCATTCACCAGCTGAAGGGCATTTGGGTTGGTGCCAGTTTGGGGTCACTGTGAATTAAGCCACTATAAACATTCGTACATAGATTTCCGTGTGAACTTATTTTCACTTCATTTGGGTAAATATCTAGAAGCGAAAACTACTGGGTAGTATAATAAATGTATGGTTAACTTTATGAGAAACAGCCAAACTTTCCAAAATGGCCGCACCATTTTGCATTCTCACATTTGGCACGGTCAGTTTTTTGTTTGTTCTGTTTTTTGGCCATTTTAATTGGCGTGTAATGATATCTCCTCGTGGTTTTAATTTGCATTTCCCTACTAACAATGTTGAGAATCATTTCATTTGCCACCTGTACATGTTTGGTGAAGTATCTGTTTGAATCTTTTGTCCATTTAAAAATCTGGGTTGTTTTCTTATTGCATGAGAATTCTTTATATGTTCTAGATATAAATCTTTTATGAGGTATATGATTTGCACATATTGTCTCCTAGCCTGTGGCTTCCCATTCTCTTAGAAGTGTCTTTTGAAGAATAGTAGTTCTTTCTTCTGATGAAATCCAATTTATCTTTTTCTTTTATGTTTTAATACTTTCATCTGACAACATGGAAGATGATATCCAGAAGAATAGAGGGAAAAATTAGAAATCTATGTCAACAATGGGGGAGGGGAAGGTCGAAACAGACAGGTAACCAGCATGCACCGGGGCTTTGTGCCCAAACACTAGTCCGTAGTGATTTATATGTTACCTCATTTACCCCAAAGCATCTACTCTATAAAGTGGAATATTGGTAATAAATCCCCTGGACAATCTCCTCCCTGGGTCCAGTGTTTCCCAGGAAAATACCCACTGAGACCCAATGACTAAAGAGTCATTTCTTTTCTGTCAAGGAGGAGGCAGAGCCCAGTTTCCTGGGCATCTGTGGGCTGTCAGAAGAAGTTCACCTCCCTTCATCACTGTGCATCAAGCATGAATAGTGAGAAACTGTTATTCCTCTCCCCTTTTTGGCAAGGACCCCCTTCCTCACAGTGCTTTATTCATCCCTATAAGTCTGTTTCTCTATTTCAAAGTTCTCTTAAATTTAGAGAAAAATAATCTAGTTCTATCTGTGAAAATAGAAATTTAGTTCTTAGAGCATAAAGTAGGCATTATTATTGATATTTATGAGGAAACTGGAGCTGAATGAATTATCATTTAACTATGAGGAACCTTAGTTTTTCTCAAAAGATATAAATTACTTGATCAAATGGGTATTATTATAAATTTACATAAAATACAGAGATATTAACTTTTGTTTTAAAGTCTCATAGAGACTCAAAGTTCTAAAAATAGGTATGAAACTGTGCAAATCTGAGACCAATAGAAATGTAGTATATATTATATAAGATACAGGATCTCCAAAAATTTATGAGCAAACTAAATTTCAGTGTGTTGAGGCTAAGAGGTTAAATAACTGCTCATGGTCACACAGCTAGTCTGTAATACAATCAGGATTCAAACCCAGCACCGAAGCTATGCTATTTCCACCCTACGACAATGGACCTACATCAGGATGAAAGTTCAAAGTCAAACAGTGACACTGAACTAAATATATTCTCTTTCTGTTTTCCTTTGTTTTGATTTTTATAGGGATCTTTATTTTGGGACAACATTCCAATTAAAGAAGAAAGTTAATTAGAATATTGGGGCTAATATTTCTAGGAAAAATGTCACAATGCTGATGAGTTTATACTGATGAAACTTCAGCTTTGAAATGTAAAGTAACAGACTTGAAAATAAAGTAGGTGAATCTAAAACTAGAAGAGATAACATACTTTGCCCTGGCTTCCTCCCATTTTTGTTTTTTCTCATCAAAAGATTTCTTCATAACTTGGTACCATTTTCTGAAATCAAACCACGGCTTATCTGAAAAAAAATGAAATCCACAATTATGAACCAAATAAGTCACATAGAATAATTTACACTGTTCACCTGAATCTTCATTCATAGACATAACTGAACACTTATATACTAGCCCTTGGAAATTAGGGATGGAGTCACTGTCTCCATGCTCTAACATGACTCCTGAGCAATCGGTCACTCCTTCCTCCGAGTTTCTACCAATATCATGGCCATAAGCCAGTTTATCCTGAAATCATCTTTTTATGTGTCTGTTTCTCCTAGGTGTGACTATTACCTCCTTGAGAACAGAAGACATATACTGTTTGTCACTACACAATCAGGCCTCTGCCTCCCAACCTAACAACACCCAGCACAGTGCGTGGCACATATGCGCCAATATGTCTGAGAATTCATGAATTAAGGAACAAATGATTAATAAATGTGAGAAATGGCACTAGAGTAGCTGAATCCAGACTTCCAGTTTCATCTCCTATCCCTCCATTTCAACTCCTATTCCTGTTCTTTCTAATACGAATCCAAATCCAGAGCTTCTAGGGGTAAGTAAGAAAGTAGACTGCATTGGACAGTTGGCGTGAGTGTGTGTTCAAGATGTCAAGGTTTGAGAGATACCAGCACTGAATGTAGTCAAATAGGGTCATTCCTCGCTCTTTTATTCACTCTGTATGGGGATGGGAAGAGTAAAAAGGGGAAAAAATCAAATGAAAGGTAAAACAGGATTATAGAGTGAGGGAGCTAGAGGAAAGGAAGGATGACAGGACGAAGAGGCCTGCATGAAAGCCTAATTTTTTACATATTCTCTCATGAAGATAGTCTCCTTTAACGTCCAGTTAAAAATCTTTTCAACTGGCAAAATAATCGTCACTTAATCCAATACGGCCTTGTAGGGAGGGATATAGCCAGAGGGGAGGCAACGACCACAGAGCTATAAGGATAGAGGAAAATTATACCAATCACTAAAACACAAGGTCCTTGGACCTGAAGTGAGGGTGCAAGTCCCTCGTGGACAATGGGGGAGGCGGGGACAGTGGCAGCAGGGAATAGCAATCCCTGTGTCGCTGGCAACGTAGATTTATTTTGAGGATCATAAAGGAGATAATGTGTCAAAGTGCTCTGTTGACTCTAAATATCTACACAGTCTAAGGTGACCCTTTAGCATGAGAACGGACATTAGATGGCATTTTGTTCAACCGTTTACTCTACGGAGGAGCCAACGTGAAGCAATGTGCAGAAGGAAGTATTGTGCACACATTCTGGAAAGAACACACAAACTGAATGCTACCATCAAATCCAAGCTCCTAAAACCGATGAACATACACATGTGAAATAAAACAAAATGTCCAACTCATAGAAGAGTAGAAACGTTGCCAGGGGTTGGGTGGGGAAATAGGGAGAGGCTGGTAAAGGGTACAAACTTTCAGCTACACAATGAGTAAGGTCTGGGGGTCTCACGTAAAACATGGTGACTATAGCTGATAACACTGTATTGTATAATTGAAATTTGCTAAGAGAGTTAAACGTAAACATTTTCACCAAAAAACGAAAAAGATAAATATGTGAGGTAATGGATGTGTTAGTAACTGAATGGGAGGAATCCTTTTTTACAATGTATACATATATGAAATCAGCACAATGTATGCTTTTAGATATCTTACAATTTTACATGTCAGCTATTCCTCAATAAAGCTGAAATTTAAAAAAAGGACACTGAACATAAATCCTAGTGAGAACATTAAGAAATCAGAATTGAACTTAAGAATTCATGTATTTATCAAACTTGACTGAGTTGCTCTTAGGCTAGTCACTATGTTAGGCACTAAAGATACATTAGAAAGAAAAAGTAAGAAAGATATGGTCCCTCTCTCTAGAAGTTTACAATCTACCTATCTGTCTGCCTGTCATTTATGTAGTACTCACTATATGCCAAACAGTCTTCTAATCACTTTACAAATATTGACAAACCAATAGAGACAGCCATATTAGTCAACTAGTTGTAACGCACTGTGCTAAACATCTAACCAAAGTTTGGACGGGGCAGCTGCGGCAGGAGTGATTAGTTCTGAAGTGGAAAATGGTGAGGTGGGGAGTGGTTAGGAGAGGGTATTTTATGTTGTATCTTGAAGAACAAGGATGGGTTTGCCAGGGATTAAAGGAGTTGGGGATAAGAAGGAAAGAGCATTTCAAGTAGGAGAACCGGTGTGACAAAAGGTTGATGGCATCACAATAGATGGCATAGTCACAAAATGGCCTGCAAGTTCATGGTCTAGTGTGGCTAGTGAGTAGATGCTGGAAATAAAAAGCAAGTTGGCCTTTACACACGGTAGGAGGTCAATGAAGCTTTTTAGCAGCGTAGAGATATAATTAAATAACTATATGAAAAAATAATCCTGGCACAAGACAAAATTTGTATACATGTATATGTATATATGTGTACATGCATATTTTCAGTTTCTTTCCTACATTTATTGTGTCTTTTAATCCACTGTTTACACTTTGAATTTGATTGATAAAAAAATAAGTACCTTCTTTGTTCTCTTCATTATATTTCTCAGCAATAGTAGACAAAGACCTAGAGATACCAATAAACAAGTCAATTTGTTTACAGATGACTTATCTGAAGACAGCTAAATTCTGAATTCTTCTGAAAGAAGAGTATATAGTAACAATACTTTAAACTGATGCCAACTGTAATGGAGAAGCAATCCCTGAAACAGGGAGAAAGACCCTGCAAAAACTGCCACTCTTTTTAGCACTTGGGAGGGGTAACATTTAAAGATTACTTTCCAAAATAATCTTTGAGTCACAGTGCTTGGAGCCCAATGGCATATAGATGAAGTGCCAAACGGTTTCTTAGGATTTGTGTATGATGAGTTAAAACCTGGGCATCAGTGGAACAATGAGAAACGTGTATCTACCTAAAAAATAGAAATAAAACATGAACAAACAACTTGCTAAGGTAAAATGAAACCTCTGGCAACTAGCTGAGTAAAATATTAAACAAGAAGCAATTGTTGCTACTAGCCAATGTTCTGCAACAGCTGACAGTCTCTGTTTTCCATTGAGATAAGTATGGAGTCCTTCACTCTGAATAATTAGGTAAAAACAGTACAATTTTTCCCTTATAGAAGTGACATACACTTACCATTCTAAATTGTCATCCAATAAAAAGAGCAGTTTCAATACTATCACAATGACAGCTATGGCTTGTATATCATATTTAACAGTTTTTGCCATTTTAGCTATTGGATCAAATGTCAGAAAATCCACTTCTCCTATTCCAGCCATTTTTACCACTTGGCAGGCGAAACTGTGCATTTCATCTGTTGAAGATAAAACCAGTAAAATGTGAAATAAATTATTTGGCTAACTAGACCATACTAATGTACATCTCCATAAAATAAGCTTTATCTTACTCATAAAACATGGTACTATGCTAGAACTTGGAGACACACGTTTTGTGACTAGAATAACCCCCCCCCCAAAGATATATGTATAGAAAAACTAACGGTAGGATCTTGACAAGGCATATCTTTTCTTATTTTGACTTCCTAAAACATCTACTATTTATAGCACCCACCTTGGTACCCAATACACAGCCACGCATCGGTTTTCTATTGTTTCATACATGTCTTGTCTGTGTTTCTACAGCAATTAGCGCTTCCCTGAAACTAGGTCCCCTGTGAGACCAAGGGCTTCTCCAGGAACGTGCACTCCCTGGCTGGCTGACACCTGGCAAGCACCTGGAAGATTCAGTGTGTGTTTAACTAGATGCGCTGTTTTCCCCGAGAAATTACATGCTGAGCATAGACTGCATCTGAATGATGTGGGACTTGGAACCAGAACACCCAGGGCTTATATTTAGTTTCCAATCATTATCTTTTTGACTCTGGATTCCAATCGCTTAACCTCAGTTTCTATATTTATATTGTAAAATGGGTCAGGGTGAGGATAAAGTGAGATTAAATAAGACAGCACAAGTGAATAGATGCTGAAAACTCTAAATTACTAAGCAAATTGCTTTACTCACTAATTTGAGTACCTAAGATGTACCACAGTCTATTTTAATGACTTTCAGGAACAGCTAGTATTTACAAGAGCATACTCAAGCGTAGTGAACTGAACTGAGTCTCCGACGTGCTCTCAGTCACCACGTCCTGTTGGTCCCCCCCCCCCCCCCCCCCCGTATGTGGTGTACAGTACAGCAGCAAAGAGCAGGCGGCTATGAAACCAAACTGCCTGGACTGGAATCCCTGCTCCATCACTTATTTGCTCAGTGACCTTGGACACGTTACATGACCTCTCTGTGCCGCAGCTTTTCTCATCTGTATAAAACAGGAATAACAATAGTCCCTACCTCACAGTTATCGTGAAGATTAAATGAATTAACATACGTAAAGCAGTGGATGGCACAGAATGGGCACTTAATAAATGTGAGCTATTAAGCTGACTGCTTTCAAATCCATGCAGTTTCTTCCCTCTCCACTGCTGCCCTACGAGTACTTCATCCTCATAACTGGTCCTCCTGCCTCTGGTCTGATCCTGCTGTGATCCAATCATCTAATTCCCCTGCTCCCACTAACCCATTACACGGAGCTCTGTAGTTCCCCACACAAGCCATATTCTCACCGGACTCTCTGCCTTACACAACTGTTTTTGCTCCTTCACCTAGGAAGCCAATTTCTTTCCCCGTTTCGCATCTCAAGCTTTGTGGAGTGGATTCTCACTCATATTACAGAATTCAGTTACACCGATCGTTTCTTCTAAGAACACTAGTGTGATACGTCGCCTCTGATGAGCCCTTCTCTGAATGCTAAAGCAGCTCTTCCAGCATTGACCTCACTACTGCACACTGCTAAGCGTTTATTTCTCTGCTCCCTCTTAAACTTGAGGATAGACTACGCCTTGTTTTATTTGTCTTCCCAACTGTGGCAATCTTACACATCATTGGTGGAACCTATGTGTTTATGGTGAAGAATGAGTAAAATACAAAATGAATTTCTTTCCTAAAACGTTTAAGTAAAACGTTTCCACTGATTAAACAATGCTGTGTTCACAGACAAATAGAACACACGTAACAACGATAATTTAAAATACGCATCAAAGTATTTTTATATGTCTACTAGATTCTAATAACTTAGTTACAGTTTGACTTGCTTTTACTCATTCTTTCGAAAAACATTTGTTGAGCATCAACTATGCTCTGGGTATTGGAGATAAAGACATAGCCCTTTTCCTTCAGGAGTTCATGGTTTAGTAACATGCAAATAATTAGAATGCAACGTGATCAGGGTAAGACAAAGATGAGATGGTGTTTTGGGGAAATGTAAATAGTTCAACACAAGGCTTTGGTGTTGAATGCGGAGAGGTAGGTAGGGCCAGATCACGAGGGTTTGTATGACAGGATTTGCGTGATAGAGAATTTGGACTTATTATTGTTAAGATTATTTCAACTTACAGATTCCATCTGAATTATTCATTCAGGTGCAAAACAATTAGGAGACACACAATTAAGCTCAATTCAATAAGCAGTTACTGAATGCTTACTGTGTAAAAGACATTGTGCTATAACTGAGGAGACCAGAAAAATAATAGCTAGGACTCCTGCCTTCAAACATATACACTTAAACCATGAAAAAAAATTTAATTTAAAAGTACATTCACTAAAATGCTATGTATTATCTGTATTGGGTTATAGATGCTATAGCCTCTTCTAATTTGAAAATTGACTTATTAAGTGACAGTTCTTGAAAACTGTCTCCTCCATTTCTTTTAAAATTAATATCCTGAACTACATCTCTTACACCAAAAGTACAGAGTAATTGAAAAAGCAAATGGAAGAAATGATGAGAAAGGAAGCAGGCACAGCAGAGAAAACAGGCGTATAGTATTCTGAACCTGAGCATGATGTGGAAAGAACACAAGCTTTGGAATGAAAAGACTGGGCTGCGAGTCTGTACTCTGCCATCTGCCAGTTAAGTGTCCCTGAGCCTTGCTATGTCTCATCTGTAAATGCAAATACTCACCTGCCCTCCCTTCCCAGCTTCATAAGTGAGGTTATATATATGGAAGCACTTTGGAAATGCTGAAGTTCCCCACAAATTACAGATGTGATTGTGAAAGCTGCCAGAAATTCTCTTTAGCAGACGTGTCTGACCAGTATGAGTAACAATACTAGAAAATGTGTTTGGAGCTCATTCAAAGCCTCAAAGAGTCAGTGCTCACTCAGGAAGGGTGTGTGCGACATGCTTGCTGGAACCTTTCTACCTAGTTCCAGAGCCCACGTGGTCATGCGTAAAGGCTTTGGGGGGGCATGTGATGCCGCAGCATGCTAAAAGCGACTTCCAGCTTTCTGAGAACCCTGAAAACTCTCTGCAAGAGTGCCAAATATACAGGTCTCTTCTTTTTGACTGACAGCACCATAGAACGGGGATGCACTGTAGAGAGTATATTTGTACAACGAAAATGGCAACATCCTAGAGGTCTGCTTACAATCTTATGGGTAGTTAGAAAATCAATGCCACATTTTAGAATCTAAATCCTAAGGTGCAGAGACTATCACATCTTAATTTGTAGAGCCATTTTGTTTATTGATTCCCCCCCCACTATTAAGTAATACACTCAATATAGGACATTTATAAGATACATAAAGGTAGAAGAAAGGAAAAAAATGCATTACTATAACTTAGAAATAGCACTTTAATATTCTGGTATATTTATTTCTAATATTTTTATGAATATTTTCATTTTATGTAGTGGTGGTTATATAAAATTTATAATTTGGCTTATTTCATTTTTTATTATAACATAAACATTTTCCATGCTTTTCTGAACTCTTTACAAACACGATTTTAAAAGCTGTATAAGGTTCACTGAATATACACCCCACTGTTTACTTATCCATAGCCTTTCTGTCGGATATTTGAGTTGTTTCTGATTTTTCAGTATTATAAATAAAAAGGTGAATAACATTTATAATAAATATAATTTTTTTCTATATTTAAAATTATTTCTATTGCACAATGTGTGAGAAGTAAAATTTCTCTATTCCAATTCTTTATAATACTGTCTCCAAAAAGGCACTTACTAAATATCAGAAGATAGTAATGTCTCTCTGCATATTATAGTGGGTTTAATTCTACTTGTTACTCTCAGGAAGAGTTAGGTGAGAAATACTGCTAAACTACACAATTGGCCAGAAAACACCGCCACCCCCTCAGTCCAACTGCATCCTGTCAGCTCTGTGCTTGCCCTAACCCAGCTGTGTCAGCTATATTTTGGTAATACCTGCTATTTCTCATGCACCGAGTATTCCCTTTATACGTTGAAGATTCTGGAGTACATGAGAGAACACAGTAACTTTTCATATTTTGAAAGAACCGTTGAGGAAGTATTGGGTTGTCAGAAAAGTCATGACATATTTTTTCTATGTTTTTCGTTGCAAAAATGCGTCATGACTTTTCCGACAACCCAATAAATAGAAAAAAGCAAAATCCAAATAGCAATTTTGAAAGAGTGTGAGCTCTGAGCAACAGCGGTTCAATTCCTGGCCTGAGCTGCCAATGAACAGGATGGCTCAGCTAAAAACAAAATAGACCAACAAATAGTAATTTTGATCTATCCAACATGTCAAAATGCAGAAATCAGACTTTCCAAATTCTGAAATCTTAATCAAATAGTGACTTCTGAAATCTCAACAAGAGACATACATTATTTAGCTTAATAGATAATATATTTGAAAAGTTTAAATTATTTTCGTTCCTTTAAAAAAAACATTTAAAAATTACAGACTTAATATTTACATTCATATACATGTATATATACATATCTACATGTGTATATATGTAGATATGTATATATACATATATACACATTTACCACATACCTATATTTTATAGTTAAAATTATACTATACATATGGTTTTATACATTGTTTTTCTCATGCATTTCTTGTTCTTTTCTATTAAACATATATTCAATGACATTTTTGATATTGCTTAAGCAATAGTATAGTCACACCATGTTTGTATTTTCTCTTAAAAATGAAAGTTCTGCACTTCTCACATTTCTAGTTTAGCAAGAAATTCAGGAATGGACTCAATCGGCAGATTCCATCGGGTTACCTGGGTCTTGGTATATTGTGAACAAAGTCTAGCAAGACTCTTTTCATATTCTGTATTTTGTCACCTTAAAGAGTTCACTGTGACCCACCTGGACTTTGGTCTCCATTTGTTTTAGGGACTGGAAATAGCATTATGTTACCAAACAATAAAAATGTTACTATAAATTGGTTTCTGGGATTTTTAAAAACTAGAATTTGTTATGTAATAATCATGCTTCATGTAAATGAAGAAGTGCTGCTTCTTTTTTTGGGGGGAGGGTCACCCAGGTCACTGATAACACACACTGAAACATTTGTTACTTGCACTCAGCAAACATTGTAAAAACCAAATATTCTCTCAAGCATATCTCTCACACCGAAAGAGAACTCTTCACTTCTGAACAGTACCCTTTTAACCACTTTAAATGGTCTGAAATATTTTAAGAAAGGGTTCTGAAATAAAGCTGCATGTTACTGTGGACCCTGCCAGATGGCTCTACTAGTCGATGATTTGAGAGGATGCTGTATCTCCTCATTAAGATTCTGGGAGGAAAAGCCCCTCATCAGTACCACACACTCACCAGGGAGGTTGACCTCCATCAAGTATTTCATACACAAGATGTTTGGATGCAGATAGCAGTCTTCGGTTATGTCTGGAAAACGAGGCAAATCTAGAAATGTGGCAACTTCAATCATTTTTTTATGGATATCCTCATAGTTAGGCCAAGACTGAAATAAAAGAGAGACAGTCAAGCTAGTGATTTTTGCCACATAAATTTAAAAATATGTATATTTTCTGATTTTAAAAATCATGTGTTCATTGAATAAAATTAAAGCTGTGGAGAAAAGCACGAAGGGGAGAACCGCGCTAAATCCCTCATATCCTAACTTAGTAGTTTTAAACAGTCGGAACACTAAATTTAAAAGCCACTAACATTCTATTTGGCTCATAAAACTCTTACTGGCCTTACCCATGATATAGTGAAATCGTAACTTCCTGCCGGTCATAGAAGATTCCAGGGGAAGGCATAAAGCTTTGACCCAACTGGAGTTACAATGTTGTCATACCTGCTCTAACACAGGCATCCTCTCATTAATCTTCAGATTCATACAAGTAGCTAACAAATTTAGCTAGCTGTTACATTCACATGCCTCTATGTGGGAGATAACACCAGGGTTTAAGTTCAATAGTTAAAAATCCACAAATTAAAGTCTCCCACATCAAACTCTTCCACATAATAACATACAAAATTCTCTTATGTAATAGAATTCAGGAAACTCTATGAGCTAATACTAGTAAATTCTGCTTACTTTAAGGTTTACTTACCCCTGTAGTTTGTGGGGTATGCTTCTTATATTTTTACAATTTAGAAACATTTGTGATATTAATAATACAAATAATTTTTCCCCATTTACTCATCTGTTCACATAAAATATTAAATTTAGAGTCTATTTTATGTGAGGTACTTTGAGAAATATAAAGATGAATGAAACAATCCCTTCAAGGAGTTTATAATCTAGAAAGGGAGATAAGGTGTGCAAAAATGACTTCAGTAAAGATAGAAAGTTATCAAGTACTACAGCAAGATTAAAAAAAAAAGCTCTGGGATTTCAGAAAAACTAATGTTTCTAATATGGTTGGGCCTTGTTAAAATTGGGCCTGAATACAAACATTTTGGAAACCTGCTTGGCAGTATTTATAAAATTTGAGCATGTGCACATTCTATTACAAGTGATTCTACTCTGAGCTACATATATATACCCAGAAGAAACGTGCGTGCATGTCCATGCAAGACGTGTACTAGAATGTTCATAACAACACTACTTGTAGAAAAGCCCCAAGATGGAAACTACCTAAATGCCATCAATGACAGAATAGACAAGTACATTTTGATACAGTCTCACATACAGAAAAAAATGAATGCTCTGCATGCAAAAATATGGATGAATCTCCAAAACACAATGTTAAAAGAAGCCAGATGCAACAGAGAATGATTCCATGTACATCAAGTACAAAACTCAGCAACTCAGCACCAAGCTTCTGAATGGTTAGAAGGCAGGAGAGTGATTACTCTTGGGGTGGGGGCGGCAATGACTGGGAGCGTGCGACAAGGTAGAGCTTCTGGGGTGCTGGTAATGTTGATTGTTGACCTGGGGGGCTGGTTCAGTCTGTGAAAATTCACCAAGCTATGTACATTTGTGATATGTTCATTTTTCTGTATGTCTAGTTTACCTCAAAAAGTTTTTAAACAGTGCAAAGATAAAATATAGAAAAAGTGAGAATACCAGTTATGTAAACTACAGATGGTGCCAAAAAATGTATACAAACTTTAAGAAAAACTGTATTAAAATTGTAATACTCCATATGTAACAATAACAAAAGATGAATACCAGTCATGTGTATATACATTTTTTTGGCACCCCCAGTATTTTGTGTAATGGACTGCTTCATATATCCCCTTTGTAAGAGAAATAATCTAATTGGCAAATTCAGAGTTGGAAAGACCTTTAGATGTATATGAATATGGTCCAACTTTACAAGATCCCTAGCAGGCAGACACCTGGCCCTTATTGTCAAGCCCAGTGGTGGGGACTCAATACCTTCTCTGAAGGTAGTTTATTCCATTTTTAATGGGTCTAATCATTAAAAAGTTCTTCCTTATTCTAAGTGAAAATTTACTTACCAATTTGCATTTATTAGTCAATTAAACCCTCAAGTTGTTTAAAAAATATTGCTGTTAAGTCACATCTTGCCCATCTTCTAAATCTGTGACTGTATTTGGGAGCCAACTGAAGGAATAAATATTTCTGTTAAATTTTACTTTATTAAATTCAGCTCATATACTATTTTAAGCACAAGGGAATACTTTATAATGGTATAGGCGTATACTTATTAGAAAACTATCATACTATTAATTTCTAGATTTTATAACTATGCTAAATTTTACTTTGCCTGAAGCTACGATCTTTGTATAATATTTATTTTGATACCACTATTTCAATATCTAAACTCTTTGAGCTTTATAGTAGGGGAAAAAGGCATTCAGTTTATGCTATATTATTAATATATGATTATCCAAAGCTGAAGAATATGAAGTAAATTTCTGTCAATCCAAAGCAGCAATGTAGCCTTTTAAGTCTTTTTAAAATGTTGATATATAATAATTCTACTTGTAGAGGGAAATACTATTAATTGCATTCTATTTTGTGAATTTAAAAGAGAAAAAAGGATAAGAAATACTCAGTGATCTTTCGGAGAAAGATGTCTTCTTTTTTTCTTTATAAAATTCATTCATTTACACCTCTGCTTCACTTTGCACAGAATTTGAAGCATCTTTTCAATTTAGGACAATTTTAACATTACTGACAAGATCTATGGCAACGCTAATCCTTTTAAAGAATGCAGGTAGGAGCTACAATTAAGTGTTTTTATTTGCAAATAAAACAAACACTAGAGCAGTGACTACTGCCCTTAAAAAATAATCATCTCAAAAACCAATTTAATGGATAAGTTCATGACGGGTAACTGTAAGGTCATTAAAGAACAGGAATCTAGTAGGCTAATGTGATTGAACATGTCTTTAAAAGGTCTACAGTAAAAGCTGGTAGATAAATATCTGGTGATAAATAGGCCACCATTCTTTCACATATGAACTGAGGATAAAACAATTACTAATAATGCAAATCTACATATTTATAGTATAGTTTACAACTGACTATAGATTCTCCTCGTTTTAATTCAGTTTGGTAGCTCTGACTTAAAATTTTTCATTTATTTTTAAACAGATTTTTTCTTTTTGAATAACACTGAAAACTTTTTTAAAAGCTGGGTAAGTCATTCTGCTTATTTTTTTACCAGGCTTACGTCACTGTTATGCATTTAGGTTGCTTCTGGTTTTCATACTTGTATAAATAATGCCATGATGAATGTCACGGTGCACTGTTTAGCAACATTTAATCTGATTATAAACTAATACATGATCATTATAAAATTTTATGAAACATAAAATCTATAATAAAGACAATAAAAGTTGCTCACAACTTAGAGAAAGCTACTTTAGGGTCTTGGTGGACTTTCCTCTCCACCATTTGGGGCACATCCATATTTATAACTTTGGGATTTAAATCCAACAGCCGCTTTGACTCCACTGCTTGGATAACTCTCCACTATATCAAGCTTACAGATTCAAAACTGAAGTCTTCATCTTCCACACCCCCAAATCTTATCCCTTCATCAGTGTTCTTACCCAGTCACAAAAAACAAGCACTTAGCAATCATCCTTGACAGCTCCCTTTTCTCACACACCACATCCATTCCATTCCACAGGCAGCTTAGTCCACCTCAAGCTGGGTAGTGACTGCGGCCATTTCTCATCAGGTCCGCTGCTACACCCTACTCTATTTACCCTTCCACACCCAGGCCTCCTAACTGCTATCCCCATCTCTCTTTTGCCTCGTTGCAGCCAGTATCAAGAGCGATATTTTAAAGTGCAAATCTGATATGTCACTCTCCTACTAAAGTCTCTCTAATAGTTTACATTGCTCTTAGACTAAGCTCCTGTCTACCTGAGGACCTTTGTACAAGTGGAAAATTAGGTGTATATATAGTTTTGTCTCCTACATTTTCACGTAACATTTTGTAAGCATTTTCCATCATAAGATAGCCTTTGAAAACACCATTTTGAGTGATGAAAATATTTCCCTTTATGAATCCATCATTTCTTTATTATTGGATAGCTGTTAGATATACATTACATGTACCCCTATTGAGGAGCTATTAAAAAGTATTTTCATAGCTGTTCTGTGACTTAGGAAAATACAGTACAATATTGAGTTAAAAAGGTAGGAGACAAATTTGTATATATTCTTTAATCCTAGGTTTGTAAATGTTTTTATGCACATCAGATAAGACAATTAAAAAATACTTAATATTAATGGCATCCGTGAGAAATTGGAATGTGGATGATTGTTATTTCCTTCTTTATATATTTCATTATTTTCTACATTCCTTTTAATCATTCTGTATGTATTACTTTCATAGTAAGAGAAAAATAAGAATTCAAAAATATATTACAGTGGTTTAAAAATTTAAACAGAATCACCATATGATCCAGCAATTGCACTTCTGGGTACATGCCCCAAAGACTTGAAAGTAGGGACTCAAACAGATACTTGTATACCCATGTTCATAGCAGCAATATTCACAATAGCCCAAAGGTGGAAAAAGCCCAAATGTCCATGAGTAAATGGATAAACAAATGGTCTCGCCACACAGGAGAATATTACTCAGCCTTAAAAAGGAATGAAGTTCTGACACATGCGACAACATGGATAAACTTTAAAGACATTATGCTGCATGAAATAAGCCCGATACAAAAGGACAAACACTGCAGACTCCACTTCTATGAGGCACTAGCACAGTCAAATACACAGAGGAAGAAAGTAGGACGGTGGAGCTCAGGGGCTGGGTACAGGGCAACGCGGAGTCAGGGTTTAACAGGTGTGGAGTGTCAGTCTGGGAGGATGAAAAAGGTCTCGAGATGGATGATGGTGATGGCTGCACAATGGGAATACACTTAATTCTACTGAACTGTATACTTAAAAATGGTTTAAATGGTAAATTTTATGGTTTGTATATTTTACTATGATTTTAAGAAAGAATAAAGAAGGAACCTACATAAGATCTGAAGGGGAAAAAAACAACATATTAGAGATGTCATAATTAGATG